GGGCTACAACGTCGTGCGACTCCCAGACAACGCGTGCAATCTCAGCAGTGGCAAAAGCCTCACGCTCAGGAGACGTGGGGACGTTAGAGAGGGCAGCAGGCGCATCGGGGCGGGGGAGCTTACCGTCGACATAAACGGCCAGGGAATAGCCATCCTGGCGCTGACCCGTCAGTTGATGGCGGAGGTCGACGAGCCACGCCTCAAAATCAATCGCCCGAACCTCCTCGTCTAGGCGGAGCACAATGTCTTCCATCACCACAGCTGCTGCGGCTGACGGCAACATGGCGGCACGGCGGCACGGCAGCACGGCGGCACGGTGACACGGCGGCACGGCGGCCCGGCGACACAGCGGCACGGCGACATGATGGCACGGCGACACGGCGACATGGCGGCACAGCGGGACAGGGGTCGGCGCAAAATGGGGCCGGCGAGCCGGGGTGAGCGAGCTAGGGGCCGGCGGGCGAGGCGCTGGCGAGCTAGGGGCTGGCGAGCGAGGGGGGGCGGCTAGCGAGGGGCCAGCGAGCTAGGGGCTGGCGACCGCGTGGTTGGCGAGCGCGGGGCTGGCGAACAAGGGGCCAGCGATCATGGGGCCGGGGAGGTGGGGGCCGGCGAGCACGGGGTCTGCGAGCGCAGGGCTGGCGAGCATGGGGCCAGCAAGGACGGGGCCGACGAGCTAGGAGTCAGCGAGCACGGGGCCAGCAAGCGAGGGGCCGGCAATCGAAGGGCCGGCGAGCTAGGGGCCGGCGAGCTAGGGGCCGGCGAGCTAGGGGCTGGCGAGCACGGGGCCAGCGAGCACGTGGCCAGCGAGCGCTGGACCGGCGAGCATGGGGACGGCGAGTGTGGGGCTGGCGAGCACGGGGCCGGCGAGCGAGGGGCCTATGAGCGAGGGGCCGGCGAGAGCGGGGCCAGCGAGCGCGGGGCCGTCGAGCGCAGGGCCAGCGAGCAAGGGGCCGGCTAATGAGGGGCCGACGAGTGCGGAGCCAGAGAGCGCGGGGCCAGCGAGCTACCGCGGCTAGGGCGGGCTAGGGCGGCTAGGGTGGACTAGGACGAGCTAGAGTGGCTAGTGCTAGGGCTAGGACTAGGGCTAGGGCGTAAGTGCGGGTGGGCGGAAAGGGCCTAACCTAGCGTGATACCATCTCAGAGTAATGAATTGACTCGAATAGAAGGTACAGGGTAGTTTCGTGCTAGTGTTATAGTCTCTAAGAGCATTCACCTATCTAGCCGATAATAACATATGCATATACAGTTGTTGACAATTATATACAGTAACCTTATATCCCTTTTGCTATAATGAATCACTTTTTTTCACATACCAGTACAATTGTTCACTCAGACTTTTGCTGTGCTATCAAGCAATTTGTTAACAGGGACTAACAGTAGTTTCAGCAAAAGATCCTAGGGCTATTCATCTGCCCAACAGCCTTGACAATGGTTTCCCTCCCAGAAACCCGCCCTTGCGCGAATCCGCATTGGCTACTGCTGCGGTGGCGACTGCGGCTGTTGCTGCGGCGATGACGATGACTGCGGCTGTGGTGGCAGAGGAGGCGTAGATAGTCGGCGTACTCGGAGCTGCAGGGCCCCTAGAGTAAGCCGACTCCTCCACGGGGACGACCGATGGGAGGGGAGTGACGTAAGACACACCAGATGGGGCAGGACAGGGAGGGAGAGGAGTAGGGGCTACCGCGGGAGTGGGGACCAGGAACAGGGGCGGGGCAACCGGGAGACCTTGGCGAGGAAAGCGGGTAGTGAGCTTGTCCGTGCCAGAGGCACGAACGTAAGCGAGGAATCTCCAAACGTGGAACGCAGATGCGTCACCAGGGGACCCGGTCCAAAGGAGGGTCAGCGAAATGTGCGGCCGCTCGGAGTGTTGCCACAGGTTAAGTTGGTGAGCGAACGACCACAGAAAATGAGGTGCACCGGCATGGATCATCGAGGTACAGCCACCTCCATGACCAAACCGATGCGTCGCTCAGCGACTCCATTTTGCTGCGGGGAGTCCGGTAGGGTGTACGACTGGGTGATGCCCTCCGCATGACAAAACTGGCCAATCCGACCGGAGGCGAACTCGCCGCCACGGTCGGAGTGAAGACGCAGCAAAGAAAGGCCGTAGTGGACTCGCGCAGCTACAACCCACGAGATAAGAACGTCAAGCACGTCGGCCTTCCGATCCTGCGGAAACACCATGGTGTAGCGAGTGTAGTCATCGAAGAGCACCAGAAAGTAGCGCTCTCGACGCGGCCCAGGGACGGGGGCTGGGCCCCATACGTCCAGGTGCAAGGTCTGGAGTGGCGCAATGGTAGGGGGAAGCGAGGAGGAGTGAAGGGCACGACACAGCTGGCCCTCGACGCAGGGCGTGCACGGCGGTGCAGGTGAGGGAGGGAGGGCAGGGAGCAATGCAGGAAGACCTAAGACAAGACAGTGCCGAGACATGTGACGTAGACGTGGGAGTGCGGGGTAACCTAAGCGGTAGTGCCACAGCAGCAACGGGTGGGTGAGCGACCAATACGAGCAAGCCGCAACGACCTGGGAGGGCGTGACCACCTTGGGGGACGATCCCACCGGGGGCGGACGCGGTGTCTAGAGTGAACAGGCCAGACACCGGGTCCCGGGGGAACGTGGTGAGAGGGGCACCTGTGGCGGCCTCGGTGCAGACTGCATACCGGTCGTGTCCAGGGAACGTAGTGGTGACGTCGAGGTCCTGAAGACAGCCGACACCAACTAGGTTCCTGAAGAACGAGGGGATGTGCAAGCCTGTAAGGGAGCTCGAGGGAACCGCCGGACAAGGAAGGGTAGTGGAGCTACGTGCAACTACCGGACCTGAGAAGGGGTTAGTAAGCGCTACAGCGGCAGGGGCAGCAAGCGGCGTGAGTGCAGTGTGGTCGCGAAAGAAGCAGGCAGATACACTTGAGTCTAGTTTGAAAGAGAGCGCGGCAATGGGTCCGAAGGCGGAAGAGCTAGAGTGGAGCCGAGGTTAAACAAGGCAGGTGGTCCTACGCTTGACGCAGTAGGGGAACTCAGGCGACACTCAGGGACACACCTACACTAGGCAACACAGGGTAATAGGGTACAGCCACACTAGAGTCATCAGCATACATGTCATACATAGCAGACCTAATCTGATCCATATCCAACTCAAAGACAGGCACACGGCGATGCACCAGGCTGTACCAGTCGGGAGGGTCCGACGCGGGGCCGAAGTGAAGACGGAAGAGGTCGTCGTGGCGGCGGTAGCTGCGGGTGGCGATGGGACCGGGATGGTCGTAGACGGTGCCGCGGCAAGGGCCGGACTGAAGCTGGTACTGGTAGGTGACCACACTGGAGCCGCCACCTGGCACCGAGCTACGCGCCCCACCACCACGACCACCACCATCAGCATCGCTGGGCCACAACGGCAGCGGGAGTCCCCACGGCTGTTGCTGCTGCTGCTGCTGTTGCTCCTGCTACTGCTCCTGCTGCTGCACTGGGGCATCAGCCCCGGTCCCCTCGTCTGCACCACCGTCCCCTCCACCACCGCCGCCACCCCCCCCACCCCTCTCGCCGCCGCGGCCCCCCCCTCTGGCCCAACGTCCCCTACCCTCACGAGCCTGCGCTGAGGCCGCCGCAGCTCTCTCAGCAGCAGGGGCCGTCTCAGCAACAGCGGCAGAGACGTCAGAGTAAGTGCACTGGGAGGGAGCACAGCCCTGGAAGATAGGGACCGCCGCAGTACTGCTAGACTGAGCGATAGTGCGCTGGCGGGTCTCTATCACGGACAGGGTGGTGACAAAGGCGGTAAGGGTGAGGTTACCTGGGTGCTGACTAAGGAAAAGGTCGCGGGCAGTGGCAAGACGGTTAGGAAGGCATGTGGCAATGAGGTAAAGGGTAGCGCAAAGGGGAGGAGGGAATGCAGTGAGCTGGGCCCCAGTACTAGCAGCGCGGTAACTAGTCTCAAGTGCGCGCAGATGGGTGGCAAGTTCAACGACACTGGGGAAGGACGCAAGATCCAAAAACAGCATGGGGAGGATCAGACGGCCGGCTGAGGCGGAGGAGGGGATGGAATAGTGCGCGATGACTGCATTCAAGTTTTCCTTCGCATTTGCTACAATAGTAAAGCGGGGATGCTCAGACAGAGGGAGAGCGTGACTAATACCAAGCTGCGCTACCGCGTCGCGCGACTCCTGGACAGTGCGGGCAAGCTCAGCAGCAGCAAAGGCCTTACGCTCAGCGGACGTGGGAGCGTCAGGGAGGGCAGCAGGCGCGGCAGGGCAGGGAAGCTTACCGTCGACATGGACGGCCAGAGAGTAGCCGACCTGGCGCTGACTTGTAAGCTGACGGCGGAGGTCGACGAGCCACGCCTCAAAGTCGATCGCCCGACCCTCTGCGTCCAGGCGGAGCACAGCATCCGCCATCACCACGGCCGCAGCATCTGACAACGGCATAGCGGCACGGCGGGCCGGCGGCACGGCGACATTGCGGTATGGCGGCACGGCGGCACGACGGCATGGCGGCAAGGCAGCATAGCAGCACGGCAACACAACGGCACGGCGGCACCACGGCACGGCGACACGGGGACGCAGCGGTATGGCGGCACGGCGGCACGGTGGCATGGCGGCACGGCGGCACAGCGGCACGGCGGGAACACGGGACGGCGCGAATAGGCAGGGCTGGCGCGACTAGCGAGGCCTGAGCGAAGTGGCGGGCCGACACAGGCTAGCAGGGTCGACGCGGACCTGTGGGGCCAGCGCGGACTAGCAGGGCCGGCGCGAAGTGATGGGGCCGGCTCGAACTAACGGGGCCAACACGAAGTGACGGGGCTGGCGCGAAATAGCGGGGCCGGCGCGAACAGACGGGGCCGGCGCGAACTAGCGGGGCCGGCGCGAACCGATGGGGCCGGCGCGGAGCGACAGGGCCGTCGCGAACTAACGGGGCCGGCGCGGCGCGAAGTGACGGAATGAGTGATACAGGGTGGTTTTGTCCTAAGGAGTTGTAGGTACTCTCTATGAGCAAGCATGAACTCGTCGACACGAAACATTCATAAACTCATGGTTTGTCTCTAAAGATTGTTGATCTGTTGATCATCAGATTCCTCCTTCCAACACAATTCTTCACCTTCCAAGATGCGCCAAGTACTTTACCAGTCAGCTCAAGTTACCGGTAGTAGATAAGAAACCTTCTCAAGTTGACCCTGGAACTACCTACTTTTGAGCTGTGCTTCCAAATGCACCAGCAAATCCACTTGAACCAAACACACCTGCACTCGTTCCAAATCCCCCATTTCCTGTCCCAAAACCACCAGTACTAAACCCTCCGGTACTAAACCCTCCAGCACTAAACCCTCCCGTCAACACCCCTTCTGCAGGTGGTCCAAAACCACCAGATCCCCCTCCCCCAGACATCCCTGTACCTCCTCCAAAAGTGGTGCCTCCCCCACCAAAGACATTGCTGCTACCACCACCAAAGGACGTGCCTGAGGTACCAACCCTTGGCCCTGATGTCTCTGCTGCTGCCTTCGCCCTCCCTGCTACCACCCCAAACACCCCACCAAAAGCACTGCTACCACCACCGAAGGAGGACGTGCCAGAGGTACCAACCCCTGCCCCTGCTGTCTCTGCTGCTGCCTTAATCCCCCCTGCTCCCGCTGACTCTGCTGCCTGAATCCCCCCTGCTCCCACCCCAGACGCCCCTCCACCCAACCCAAACCCTCCAGTGCCCGAACCAAACCCTCCTGTCCCCGATCCAAACCTTCCTGTGCCCAACCCAAACCCTCCTGTTCCTGCCCCAAACCCTCCTGTTCCTGCCCCAAACCCTCCTGTTCCTTTCCCAAACCCTCCTGCTCCCGCCCCGACCCCAGATACCGCTCCTGCCCCAAACCCTGCAGTCCCCGCCCCAAAACCTGCAGTCCCCGCCCCAAACCCAGATCCCGGTTCTGCCCCGAGCCCAGATCCCGTTCCTGCCCCAAACCCTCCAGGCCGTTTCCCAAGCGCGCCGGCAGCAGGGGCAGGGGGAGGAGAGGAGTGGGGTGACCCAAACCCCCCTCCCAACCTGCCAAACACACTGCCTCCTGCCGCTCCCGCATCTGCTGCCCCTGCTCCTCCTCCTCCCGCTCCTCCCACTACTGCTGCTCCTACTGCTCCTGCTGCTCCTTCGTTTGCCACTGTAGCCACTCCTGCTGCTGCGAACATTCCTCCGAATGCGGGTGCTGCTCCAGACACACCTGCTCGCATCCCTCCTGCTGCCCCTGCTGCTGTTGGCACTGCTGCTGCCACCCCTTCCCTCAAACCCGTTGCTCTGACACCCTTACCAGCCCCCCCTGCCCCACCAGTTGCCACCTGCCTGAAATCCTCTGCGTCCACATCCACCTGCCTCAGATACGCCCTCACCGCTTCCTCCACCTCCCCCCTCATTGCACAAAGCACCTCATACTCACCCTCCCTCTCTCTGTTACCCACACTCCCTTTCTCATTCCCTGCTGCCGCCGCCGCTCTCCCTAGCCCTCTCGCTCGCTCTCTCCCCCCTTCAGCCACCGCTGCTGCCAGCTGCAGCCTCAGTCGGTCCAGCAGGGCGTGGGGCTGCCATGTGGCGCCCATCCGTTGCTTCGTCGTGCGGGGATCGGCCGATCGGACGGATCTCCATGCACGAAGCATGGAAAGGGCCAATCGGGACGCTTGGATGAGATGGCTGAAGTCTAGATAGACTCGGAGGAGAGAGGAGGGGTCAGGGGCAACAGGGGGGGCGTGAGATGAGGTGAAGGGGGAGGAGAGGGGGGTGAGGGAGGAGGAGGCTGAGGATGGGAGGGAGGAGGGAATGGTAAGAGGACGGGAGGGTAAGGAGGAGGAACCTTCCACGAAGAGGCGGACAAGCCACGGAGGTAAGGGGAGCGCAGAGTTGGTACTGAGTATGGCTCGGGAGATGACCTCACGTAGGTCCGGATGGTGCCGAACGTACGACTCTGTCCAAACCTGCATCTGCTGCCACATCAGCGCAGGGGAGCTTGCCACGTCAGCAGCAATAGCAGCACCTGCAGCACGTGTGGCTGCAACAGGGGCAGCAGCAGCATTGGTTGATTCATGGGCAGCTCCAGAAGAAAGGCCAAGCTGAGCCATGCAGCAGCGCCGGGCAGCAGCTGAAAGGATGGCGGAAAGTTCGGCTGCCCGCTGGCTGCCTGAGAAGAGAAGCGTGGCCAGGTGGAGCGCTTGGGGGAAGAGCGCGTTGTGAGCGAGGGCAGAGATAATGCGGTCCGGTGGTGCGTCCAATGCTGGTTGGCGGAAACCGAACAGAATCAAAGGGAGAGGAAAGAACGGGAGGGGGGAGGAACAGATGAGGTGGGGCGCTTGAGGGAAGCGCGCGGTGTGAGCGAGGGCTGATATGACACGGTCCGGTGGTGCGTCCAACACTGGTTGAGGAGTAGAGACAGTTGGGTTTGGGTGGCGGGGTTGAGGGGAAGAGGGGAGGAGGGGAGGAGGGGAGGAGGGGAGGAGGGGAGGAGGGGAAGAGGGGAGGAGGGGAAGAGGGGAGGAGGGGAAGAGGGGAGGAGGGGAAGAGGGGAGGAGGGGAAGAGGGGAGGAGGGGAAGGGACGGTTCAGATGGAGCATGAGGGAAGAGTGGAAGAGTCCGTTATGAGTGAGGGCTGATATGTTGCGGTCTGGTTGCGTCCAATGCTGTTTGGGAAAAGAGAAAAAGTGCTGGTCGGGGGAGGAGGGGACAGGGGGGGGGGAGGGTGGGGGGAAGGGTGGGGGGGAGGGTGGGGGGGAGGGGTTTTTTTAGTGAGGGGGGTTGAGAGAAGAGTGCGTTGTGTGAGCGAGAACGGAGAGGGTGCAATCGAGGGGTGCGTCCAGTGCTAGTTAAAAGAATGGAGCCAAGGGGGAGGGGAGAGGAAGGGGCGGAAGGGAGGTGGGAGGACATAGAGAGGGGGAAATGAAAAATGACAGGGCAAGAAGGGAAGGGCGATGGATTGAGTGCAAGTCAGAGACGGGCAAGCTAAACCATGCTGCTAACGGCAAAACATGAAAACATGGGGCAGCCGAAACAGCGCAATCACCCATTGGCAGGCAGGCTGCAAAATGTGTGGCAAAGCAATCCCAGTTGCCGGCTCTGAGGAAACCACCAACACTGTTGGTCGCTCGCTCTCGCTGTGCATTCACTATTGCCTGCTCTCATCGGATACCCCTGCTACGCATACAGGTGTGCCGTAATACAATCGTACCCAGCAGAGCTGCAGTCGTCCCAGGGCACGTGGCAAGCAGCGATTGGGCACCCACAAGCGCATGCTCCCTCCGCAGATCCTCCAGCCCCACCGGCTCCGTCCCCGCGGCCAATGACACGCCGCCACCTTTCCCTACCCCTCCACACCACCTCCTCCTCTTAGCTGGACCCGCCTCAAAACCAAACCCTCCCTCCTCCCTCTTCCGTCCATTCCCCCCCGTCCTCCCATCCCCCATCGCCCCTCCTCCCCCCCAAGCACCATCACCACCACCACCAGCAGCACTCCTATCAGCAAAAACGGACACCATAGGCGGAAGCCATGCCTCCTGCCACTCCACCTCCTCCCTCTCCCCCCACCCTCCCTCCCTCCCCAACCCACTCCCACCCTCAATCTCACCCACACCCACCCCACCACTCTTCACCCCTTTCCCCCCTCCTCCCTCTTCCCCTCCCCCTCCCCCCTCCCCCCGCGCCACCATCAACTCCAGAGCCTGAATCGCCACAGCCAGGCTCCTCTCTCTCGCCCGCACAGCAGCCACAACCATCTCGGGAATCCTCTCCGCGCTCAGCTTCATGCCGGGGCTGGCCCTCCCTCCTGCTGGGCTGAACGCCCTCCCCAGACTGAATGCAACTCCTGGGCTCCGTCCCTCTCTCCTCCTGCCGTCACCCGCCCCTGCAGCAGCAGCAGCAGCAGCAGCAGCAGCAGCGCCACCACCGCTGCTGCTGCTGCTGCTCGAACCCAACACCTCCCTTCCCAGTCTCCATGCATAACGGTACATGGCCAGGGCTGCTTTCCTCCAATCGGATCGCGCCATGTGGAACGAGTACAGCAGCTTGTACGGACTCAGCCTGCCCAGTGCTGACGTGGACGGTGACGGCGCTGACGTGGACAGCGGCAGGGACTGTGCCACATCAGCATTCTCAGCGAGCCACATGAGCTCCTGCTCCACCTGTACCTGCTGGTCGGCAGCAGCGTAGGGGAGGGAGCGGCCACAGAGTGTGGATAACGCCCTTGCTGCCTCTGCTGCTGCTGCTGCTGCTGCTTCTGCTGCTGCTGCCTCGGATCCAACACCAGCACCACCAGCAGCTGCAGCAGCTGCAGCAGCTGCAGCAGCGGCGGCTATAGCGGCTACAGCCTTGCTGGCCGCCTCACAGAGCACAGCGACGAACTGCCGCAGGCAGATGCTGCGGCTGAGGGGCTCGGGGTTGGAAGCGAGGGCACAGTACGCCTCGTCATACTGCCCCCCCTGCAGTGCATACTGGAACACATTCGCCCACAGCCGACCCTTCAGCCCCCTCACCACCTCTCCTGCGGCTGAGGTTGCTGCTGCTTGTCCTTGCCCCTCCTCATCCTCGTCGGCAAAGGAACCTTCCGGGAAGGGAGTGACTGCAAGGGAAGCTTCTGGGAAGGCAGCATCAACCTCATGGATGGCAGCGAGGGCGAATCTGGCAGCAGAGGGACCCTCCCCGTACCGCTCTAGAAGCCTCATCACCGCTTCGTAATACCGTAGCCGCTGCCTCGCTGCAACTGTACCTGCTGCTACTGTAGCTGCTACTACAGAAGCATGCGCTACAGTAACATCTGTAGCACGTGCCACTGTAGCTGAACCACTGTTTCCCGAACCGCTGCTATTGTTGCCCCCATCCCCACTGCCGCTGAACATCTCCACTAGGCCTTGTAACGGATTGCCTGCATCCCACATGGCTGCTCCCCCCATGGCTGCTTCCCCCACGGCTGCTCCCCCCATGGCTGCTTCCCCCATGCCTGCCTCGCCCTTCCCCCTCACACTGGCTCCTGCTGCCCACGCTTCCACCCCTTCAGCTGCCTGGAAGAAACATTTTACTGCCCGACCCACCAGCCCTGCTCGCATGGCTTCCCTGGCTGCAGACTCACGCCCGCCCCCCTCCCCTGCTCCTGAACTACCATTTTGACCAATGATACTGCCACCAGTGCTTAGCTGAGTGCTGCTGCTGCTGCTGCTGGCGCTTAGCTGAAACCAGGTGGGGAGGTCTGCAGGGACGTGTGCGCAGGCCACGAGGGCAAACCCCAGAAGAAACGAACGAGCTGCCGAAGCATCAGGGTCGATCGAACCAGAAGCGCTGGTTCGGGCAAAGGCTGAGGGGTGGTGGGAGAAGGGCGCATCTCGGTTGACACAGTCCAAAAGGACCTGCGAGAGAGAGGGCGGGAGGCAAAGGGATTCGGGGAGAGATGGAGAGCAACTCACTTTAGACCAGGAGAAAGAATGAAACTTCGATTTTGCAGGGTGTTTTTGAGAATTCTCAAAAACACCCTGCAAAATCAAGCACTTAAGACCAGAAGAAAGAATGAAACTTCCTTGGCGCTCAGTGATGTTGAAACCGGGTGAGCCATACAAGGCGCATCCGATGAACGAGCATGCCGGAGGGAGGGCTGAGGGCTCAACCTGAGATCCTACAACCCTCTGAACCCCTAACCCCCCTGCTCTCACCTTGACCATGTGGTTCTGGCTGTGCTGTAGCAGCTTCAGCCTCACCTGAACCGCGCGAATGAAGAAAACAACATGGCGTACCATTAACCTGAACCCCTTACCCGTGAACCCCTTGGCCCCAAAACCCTTAACCCCTCAACCCCTAACCCATCGACTCCTAAACCCCCTGTGCGCTCACCTTGACCATGTGGTACTGGCTGTGCTCCAGCAGCTTCAGCCCCATCTGCACGGCGCGATGGTAAAAGCTCGGCGCTCCCCCTCCCACCGCCCCTCCTTGCCCTCCCCCTGATATCCTTCCTGCTCCTTCTTCCGTCTGCCAGGGGTCCCGCCCCCATCGCAGCCGCACCGCCTCACTCATCACTTCGCACAGCACCCCCTCCGGACACACACTCGCACACCGCCACCCCACCCCTCCCCCTCCTCCTCTGCCTCCTGACCCCCCTTCCCTTACGCTCCTGTCCTCCCCTCCCTCCATTGACTCGTCTCCATCTTCCTCCCCGTCTCCCCCATTGTCTTCCTCGTCTCCTGCTTCTCCGTCTCCCGCGTTTCCATCCGCAGCAAGTGATTGCCGATCTGTGGGTGCATTCCCATCACGCCACCACCCCCTCCACCTGCCCCCCCACACACCTCCTCTGCCCCTATCCCCACCTCCTCCCACTCCCACTCCCCCTCCCCTCTCCTGCTCTCCCTCCCCTTCCAATAAAACAGCGACAACTGTCCGCCTAGCCCATCGAAACTGCACCTCTCGCCGGCAGAACCTTCCAAGAAATTCCCCTTCTGCTCCTGGCCCTGCCCCTGCCCCCCAATCCCCTCCCCCTCCTCTTCTCCCACTTCCAAAACCCCCTCCACCTCCCCCCCCCTGCCTCACCCATCTCCCAGACCCTCGTGTGGTCCCCACATCCACGTCAGCATCACCATCCGCGTCAGCGGGCACGCCAGCAGCAACCTTCCCGCCAATATGCAGTGAAAGGAGGTCCACAGAAAACTCATCCTCAGGGGTGCGAGCAGCAAAGCAGTTGGAGAGGGTGTGGAGGAGGAGGGTGGAGGAGAGGAGGGAGTGAGTGAGGGGGAGGAGGCGGAGGGAGAGAAACGAGCGGTCAGAGGGAGAAAGGAGGAAAGGGGAGCGGGAGAGGTGGAGGAGGTGGAGGAGGGGGAGGAGGGAGAGGAGGAGGTTGAGGTGCGAGCCTAGCAAGTGGGTCAATCCGTGGGAGAGCTCGTGAGGGGAGAAGAGGGACGGAGGGAGGAGGTTGCTGGTGGGGAGATCGTCCACCTCCCCACTCCCATTTGGAGCCTCAGACGCAGGAGGTGCTCTTCCCCCTGCTGATCCGCTAGCAGAAGGGAGCACACCCAGGTCCATACTCGTTACAAGCAGCTCCACTACCTCGAGTACGCCTCCCCACTTCCCTCCTGCTGCGTCTCTCAGACTCCCCAGGGCAGCTTGCAGCTTCACCGAGAAAACCCTCTGCTCCGTGTTCTGCTGTGAAACAAACTCCCGGGCAGCCGACTTCAACCTGTTAATGCTGCCCGAGCTGCCCAGCGCCAGCTGCCCGAACTCCAAAAACTTTGCCACGTGTGAAAAAGCATCAGAGGGTTGCAGGGAGGGAGAGAGGAGCGAGACTGGGAGGGATAGCATCACAAGCCTGCCCACACGTGCGCGAATCAGATCCAGACAGCTGGCAAGCTCTCCCAACACGGCTGCCAGCTGTCGCTCTTCCATTGGCTGACCTGCGCCACCACGGCTGCCTGAATCCAATCTGCCTGGACTGCTTTTAACTAAAAGTCTTCCAGAAGCCAGGGAACGAGCCGCGTTAAGTGGGATGGGAGACTGGTTGCCTTGCAAACTTTGCTCCGCCCGAGCAGTAAACACTGATGTGGGCACTGCTGTAGACCATAGACTCATGTGAATTGACACATCGGGCGCTTGGAAAAGTGACACTGTGCATCCCCGAACCAGGCCAACAGCTTTGGAACCCGAGCCTGACCCCGAGCCTGAACCACCAATTGAAATCAGTCCTACAGGTGCGTTTACACTTGCCCATGCCCGGAGGTACTGCTTCCCCACCTGCTCCCACCGCTCCACCAGCCGAACCAGATCTGCAGGCTCGCCTCCGGAGCTGCCCAGGAGGCTCGGCAACACCTGCAGGTCCGGCCGCCGGTCCAAGAGGTAGGAAAGGAGAGCCTGCCGAACCGCATCGTGGCTCATCCGAGCCACTTCCGCAGGCTTGGATGACCCGAACGCCCCATTCCTTTGGTTGTCAAAGGCGAAAAACTGGTGGTCGTGATCATGGTACTGATGGTTGTGTTGACGGTGGTTGTGGTGGTGGTGGTGCTGTAACCAAGTCAGCAGATGAGCCAGGGCGGGTTCGAGCATGGACGATGGGCAGAGGAGACGAGCGACGAGTGCATCCGCACAGAACTCTACAATGGCGCCCCAATTCACCGCACCAGACCCATCCGCAAACCCCTCAGCACCCGCCCCTCCTGCTGCCCCTCCTGCTGCCCCTCCTGCTGCTCCTAAGCCGCCCCCTGTTTCCACAGGGGATGCGCTGGGCGCTGGGCAGAGGAGAGGCGCGAGCTCGAGGAAAGGCACGAGACCCATAGAGGACACCAGGCTGGCCCTGCTGCCGCTGCTCGCGTCTGTGGCAAAGGCAGCAGCTGCAGCGTCTGTAGCAGGAGCAGGTGTTAATGCAGATATAGATGTAGATGCAGGCGTGCCTGCTGCGCCACTGGCGGAGGAAGCAGCAGGCGGAGAGGCGGGCAGGCGAAAGAGGGACGGCAGGGAGCAGTCTGAGAGACCCAGGGCGGCTGAGAGCTGCCGTTCCGCCAGCTGGCAGGCACTGATTGGTGTGTAAAGCGCAGACGGAGGAAGAGGAAGAGCAGTAGAACCTGCTGCCCCACCTCCTCCTCCCCTTGCTCCTCCTCCTCCTCTTGACGCTGCTCCTGGTGCGTCCCCTGCTGCAGCGGAAGTGCCACTGCCAAGAGACGGACTGACAACAGGCAGACAGACAGTGTGGTATCTCGCCCAAGCCGCAACGCCAGCAGCACCTGCTGCAGCTGCCCCCGCGGCTTCACCCGCACACTGCTCCTGCCAAAGCATCCACACCTTCAGCTCTGTTCCTTCTCCCGTCACTCCCTCACGGATCCTGCCCCTCCCCCCGCCTCCATTCCCTCTACCCAGCAGCACGCGCACGTCGCTTATCCACATCCCCTGCTCTCCTTCCTCCACCTCATCTCCCCCTCTCTCCACCACCCCCTGCTGCTGTTCACTCTCCCCCCTCGCTGCTTGCCTTGCCCCATCGCCTCCCCTCTCATCACCCCCACTACTGTCACATCTGCTATAGTCACCACCGCGGCTGCCAGTAGTGGTGGCGGTGGGGGCGAGAGGCAGGGCGGCCCAGGCAGCAAGGTGAAGAGAGGCGGAGGCACGGGCGGCGTCAGAAGGAGTATCGAGACGGAGGAGGTGAATGGTGACGACACCTGCAGGGGGGGTAGACGCCTCTGCATTGCAAGCAGCAGGGGCAGAGAACGCCTGCGCTTGTTCCTGCCTGCTCGCTTGGTCCTGCCTCGCTGCAAAGGTGGTGACGACCAGAAGAGACTGGTCAGAAGCAGCAGCACTGGTGGTGGAGGAGGAGGAGGAGGAGGAATAACTGCTACTGGTAGCAGCAGGGTTGAGGTGAAGGAAAATCTGCTGGACGGCCCATGCGCCTGAGGAATTAGAAACAAGGGGGGGGGGGGTCAATGGGGTGGGGAGAGAGGGAGGGATACGGAAACTAAGTACGCCAAAGCTTCCGAAGGAGCGAGACACAAGCGTTTGAAGTGTCATCACAACTCGCCGTCTCGAAAAGACCCCCCTTCACTAGCCCCCGCGGCAGAAGCAGGCCTGCTTTTGCAGCACCCAGAAATAGAAATAAGCCACGCCCTGCAGCTAACCATCTTTAAAAATTGCCCCTTGACTGGATCCCGCGGCAGCAGCAGTAGCAGCAGCAGCAGCAGCAGCAGCAGCAGTAATGAGGCGCGTAACAACCAAGCCCTGCAGCATACGCTTACCGTCTTGAGAAGTTGCCCCTTGACTAGATCCTGCAGCAGCAGAAGCAGCAGCAGCAGCAGCAGCAGCAGCGCCGCCTAAACCCCCCTCCACGGCAACCGTCACCGCCGCCAACCGAACCTTCTTGGCAACATCCCACAGCCTCACGACACCGTCTGCGTGTGCAACTGCAGCCAGTCTCTGCTCGCCACGTGTCAGCAGCTGAATGGATCGCACGGGGGCTGTAGGCGCACCTCGCCCCGCGCCCACCATTCCCCACAGCCGCGCCATCGCCCCCTCCCCCTCCCGCAGCTCCGCAACCCCCCCCGCTCCGCCAGATGCTTCCCTCCTTATAGCGCCGCCCGTTACAGGCACAACAGGGTTGGCCAGTTTGTGAAACGGAACGGTAAGAACGCTACCCGAGCCTCCGCCGAGGCAAACCGTGTCCAGATCGGCTGCGAGAGACGTCACGCCGCTGCCGAGCCTGGAAAGGAGGTTCGGCGGGAGCTGGAACCATCGCAAGGAGGCGATGGAGAAATCAGCGAGGAGAGAAGGTTCGGCGGGCTGTGCTCCCGAAGCACCGTCTGGCCTGGTGCCGAACCTGGCCGTACCGTTTGGCCCAAACCCTGGGGCGCTACCACCGTTCCATGTCCTGCTGCTGTCCTCTTGCGGCCCAAACCCTAGGTCTAGAGAATAGATCACCCCTTCTGACGAGAGCAGGTAGAGCGAGGCCTGGGAGAATCCAGCAGATTCAATTCCCTCGCGATCCTCCTCGTCGTCTTCATCCTCGTCATAAGCATCCTCGCTATCTTCATCGTCGGCCTTACGCTTCACGACAAAGGCTGCGAGCGGCAGAAGCAGCGACGGGAACCGTAGATGCACCTCGTGCGATCCCTGCCGTTGAGAGAATTGGCGAGTGACTGCAGCGGCCGATGTTCCTGTAACGAGCGGAGCTGGCTTAGAGGCGGGGAAAGAAGAATTCGGGAAGAGCTCTTTCAAAACGAGCACGGACTGCGGCGATTGGTGGCTTCCGGATTGGATCTGCCACGTCAGCAAGCGCTGATTCGGTTGAACGGAATCTGATCTCCCGATTTGAAGCACCGATCCCCCGCCAAGACACGTCTGCGCGTTGAGATCCAGTATTAATCTAGGGCTCTGGGAAGAGTTAGCGGAACTTCTTGTCGGATCGGTGATAACGAATTCTCTCCAAGCGTCCTGAATGCTAAAAATTTGGGTCTCCATCGCTGCACACGAATGAACGAAAACGCTGATGGGTCCAAGCTCCAGCTAACCGCGAATTGGCTCCGAAGATCCTGAGTCAAAGCTACATGAGCGGAGCCCGACGAGTGCCGGCCTTTCGATGTCCCTAAGAATGGCAGTGCAATGCGTTTTCGAATAGACCATTGCCCAGTCGACGATAATTGCAGGAGAAGTATACTACGCGCAAATGGACCAAGGGATGGGACAACCCCCAGGGGAATGGAGTCTAAACCATGCAACTGGTCCGGCGCTCTAAGATCGCGTCAAATCTGAGCACGCTCCGGCACGGAACCTAAGTAATCGCCAGGTACATTACGTCCCTAGAAACCCCGAACGCTTGGCTGATCAAACCATGTAGCCAGTCAGGACGGGAAACCAAGGAACAGAGATCCCTGATTTGTTCCTTCCCTTCCCCCTCGTTCTCTGATTTGAATTCTACAAGAAGGCTGGCGAAAGCTGTAACCCGATATACATCCGAACTCGACTGTAGTCATCGCAAGCCTGTAAATACTATACACTAGACCGAATATACTCAAAACGGTAACAAAATTCGTAACCGCATCCTTGACTACAATTCCCTCCACCTCACAACAGCCACAATCTGACCAGCCAATCACCGAACCTCGAGAATACCGAAGGTCCAAAATTCACCAGCAGAAAACACAACCCCTCAACCCTCTCCCTCGTCCTCCCACCAAACCCCCAACCTCGGGCATTTGAGCCCCACAGTTTCCTCGTCTACTTTTGATCCCCCATCTTTCTGGATTGCTTCTCTTTCGATCAGCTCGTTTCTCCTGATCTGATCAACCCAGTGGACGATCTGTGCCGCTCGATCCGTGCCGCTCGATTACTTTTCTGAGAGCTTTCTCTAGGCGACTACACTTTTTTCACCCCCTTTCCTGCCGCGAGACGCGACAGGCGGCGCCAGCCAATCGGCGGATCGGGCTTAGAAGAAAACCGCGGATCGGTAAAACGATTCTGAAAATCGGGGTAGATTATAAATTTTCGCGGATCAAATCTAGATCCTCATCCGATCACTACCCAAATAGTCATCATGCCTCCACCTACCAGCGCCAGCGGCGTCACTGCCGCGGTCTCCGTTACAACCACGCGCCTTTTAATCACCTACCACCCGCACGACCTCCCGCCCGGCGGCGATCCGCTTGTATTGAGCGGGCCAGCCCCTCTTTGTAAGAACACTCGGCTCGAACCAGCAGGTTTCTCGTTTCACGAAGCCGCGAAGCGATTGGCGGGAATTCACGCGCCGGGGGAGGAGGCGGAGGACGCGGAGGGGGATGGGGGGAAGGGCGGGAAGGAGAAAGATACCGTTGACTCGTCGGCGTGGGAAAGTTCGCGGAAGAAGAAGAAGGGGAAGGACGGGAAGGACGGGGAGAAGCAGGAGCAGGACCACTACGCGCTGCTGGGAATGGCGCACCTGAGGCACCTGGCGACGGACGATCAGTTGAAGAAAGCTTACAGGTGAGACTGAGGGAAGGGGGTAATAGAAGAAGGGGGACAATAGACGAAGGGGGACAATAGAAGGAGGACAATAGAAGAAGGGGGACAATAGAAGATGGGGGACAATAGAAGAAGGGGGACAATAGAAGATGGGGGACAATAGAAGATGGGGGACAATAGAAGATGGGGGACAATAGAAGAAGGGGAAAGAAGAAGGGGAAGGATGGGAAGGACGGGGGAAGCACGAAAATCATCGCCACGCGCTGCTGGGTATGGCGCACCTGAGGCATCTGGCGACAGAGGACCAGCTGAGGAAAGCTAACAGGTGAGATTATGGAGGCGAGCATGTGAGAGATAGCTTTCCAGGGTTGGGAAGCGTACAGTAAAACATGGGGCATCTCACTAGGCGCTGCTGGGGGTGGCGCACCCGAGGCATCTGGCATCGGAGGATCGGCTGCAGAAAGCGTACAGTTGCGATCAAGGAAGCGAGTATGTGATTGATCGGAATCCGCACTGTACAGCCGATCAAGCTATCAAGAAAGCGTACAGATGCATCAAGGATGCGAGTATGTGAAAAATACTCCAAGGCTGGGATGCGTACGGATAAGATTGGGAATGTCCCTGTGCGCGCGCATGTAGCGCAAGAATTCGCGACAGAGGAGGATCATTTCAAGAAAGCACGCACGCATCGTCCGGCTGATTCCTGATAGCCCCTTCTCGCCCCTTCTCGCCCCTTTTCACCCCCCAACCCACCAGAGATGCTGCTCTCCGCTTCCACCTGGATAAGCAAGCCTCGATGCTTCTAGAAGAGCAGACGGACGGGGCACTCGTTGAGACGCCTCAAAACGCATGGTTTGGCTTATTCCTGATCACCCCTTCTCACTCCTTCTCACTCCTTTTCACCCTTTCTCGCCCCCCCAACCTACCAGGGATGCGGCGCTGCGCTTTCACCCCGACAAGCAAGCGTCGATGCTGCTCGAGGAGCAAACAGACGAGGCACGAGCCAAGAAGAAGGAAGAGATCGAGACCAAGTTCAAGGCCATCCAGCTGGCGTATGAGGTGCTCTCGGACCCCACCAAGCGCCGCGTGTACGACTCCACAGACGAGTTCGATGACGATATTCCCGGGGATTGCTCGCCCGAGAATTTCTTCAAGGTGTACGGGCCGGCGTTTATGCGGAATTCTAAGTGGTCGGTTATTAGCCCCACGGAGGTTCCGGGTTTAGGGGATGAGACTACCCCAGTTGGGGAGGTGGATAAGTTTTATGATTTCTGGTGGGGGTTTAAGAGCTGGAGAGAGTTTCCTAACGAGGATGACTATGACGTGGAGAGTGCGGAGAACCGGGAGCATCGGCGGTGGATGGAGCGGCAGAATGCGAAGCTAAGGGAGAAGGCGAAGAAGGAGGAGAGTGCGCGGATTAGACAGTTGGCGGAGAATGCTTATAGACAGGATCCGCGGATTTTGAAAAGGAAGGAGGAAGAGAAGATGGCGAAGCAGAGGAAGAAGGAGGAGAAGCAGAGGGAGAGGCAGCAGAAGGAGGATGAGGGGAAGCGGAAGGTGGAAGAGGAGCGGAAGAGGAAGGAGGAGGAGGAGAAGAGAGCCGCAGAGGAGGCGGCGGTGCTGAAGAAGCAGAGGGAGAAGGACAAGAAGGCCGCGAGGAAAGAGAGGCAGAGGCTGCGAACTGCCACGGCAGACTGCCTAGACTCCCTTGCGGCAGCAACTAAGCAGAGCAAGCAGAACAAGCAGCAGCAGAAGGGGGAAGAGCGGGAGGCGCCGATAACAGAGGAGGACCTGGAGGTTCTCGGGCAGGGATTGGACCTGGACAAGCTGCGCTCCCTCTGCGACAAGCTGGAGTCCTTGTCCGTCTCTGACGCAGCAGCAGAGAAGCTAGTCACAGCCGAGAAGAAACGACAAGCTCTCCGGCTCTACTCCACAGCCCTGAAAGTCAACCGCTGGGAGGGGCACGCCCCCGGGTTTGAATACGACCAGATCCCAACAGTAGTATCCGAAGCGGCAGCGGCGGCGGCGGTGGCGGCGGCTGCAGAGCGGGAAGCGGAGCTGGAGAAGGAGAGGGAGGCGAGGCGAGCGGCGGCGGGGAGTGGCAAGCCGTGGACCCGTGAGGAGATCGAGCTGCTCAGGAAGGCGGTGGGAAAGTTCCCCAAGGGCACGGGGCAGCGGTGGGAGGTGATTGGGCAGTACCTGGGCACGGGGCGGTCGGCAGAGGAGGTGGTGCGGGCCACCAAGACGGTGCTGCTGCAGAAACCGGATGATACTAAGGCGTTTGACAGCTTCCTGCAGGTGCGTACGATGTAGGGGTTTAGGCTTCGAGGTTTTGGGTTTTTGAGTTCTGACGGAGCAGAGGAGGTGGTGCGGGCCACCAAGACGGTGCTGCTGCAGAAGCCGGATGACACCAAGGCGTTTGACAGCTTCCTGCAGGTGCGTACTATGTAGGGGTTTCGGCTTTTTAGAGCAGATGAGGCAGAGGAGGTGGTGTGGGCCACCTAGATTGTTTTGCTGCAGAAGCTGGATGATACAAAGGCGTTTGACAGCTTCCTGCAGGTGTGTGCACTCTAGGGTTTCGGGTTTAAGGTCTGAGAGTTTCGGGTCCGAGGTTTTGGTCAAGGGTTCAGGGGTACAGGGTTTTGTGAGGGCCACCGAGACAGTGCTGCTGCAGAAGTCGGACGATACCAAGGCGTTTCACAGCTTCCTCCAGGTGGGGGCATGCATGCTAGGGGTTTGGTTTGGGGTCAGGTTTAGGTTTCTGGGAATTGGTGGACAGGGGAGGTAGTGCGGGCCACCAAGACAGTGGTGCTGCAGAATCCGATGATGCCAAGGCGTCTGACAGCTTCCTGCAGGTGGGTGGTTTGGGTCCAGGTGTGTCCGGTTGGATGCAGGTGTGTCTGGTTGGATGCAGGTGTGTCCGGTTGGATGCAGGTGTGTCCGGTTGGATGCAGGTGTGTCTCTGCTCGTGTTGATTCTTTTGGGCGTTTATTTACTGGTTACTTAGATGACTTACAACAGTATCTGTCTCCTCCCCTGTTCCCCTTGCCCTTGCCCCTTGCCCTCCCCCATTCCCCACCTTCCCAATCTCGATATCTCTGCAGCCGTGGTCCTTTGGAGTCCTAGTGACAAATCATCACCTCATGGCCGTCCGCTAGCGCGCATCAAGTAGCACTCATGCACTCACGCATGATAGAGCTCAACCCCGTCCTCCTCTCCCACTCTCCTCCCATACTAATCCCAATATCTTTGCCCCGTGCAGCGTCGCAAGAACCCCAAGGATATCGCCTCGCCTCTGTCCACCCGGGAGGAACTAGACGCGTCTGCAGCAGCAGCTGCTGCCGTTGCTCCTGCTGTGCCTGCCCCGTCAACCTCACCAGCCAAAGCAGCTGGTACCGCAGCAGCTGCAGCAGCAGCAGGAGGAGGGGGAGCGGGAGGAGCGGGAGCAACAGGAGGAGCAAAGGCAGCAGCAAAGCAAGGGGCAGGGACACCAGCAGCAGCAGCAGCAACAGCAGCAGCAGCGAATGGGGTGGGGCCGGCAGGCATAGGAGGGAGTCCAGGGGTAAAGGGCGCTAGGGAGGGGGCAGCAGCAGCAGCGGGTGCAGGGAATGCTGCTGCAGGGGCAGCGGGGGAGGCTGCAACTGCTGGGGCAGAGAAGGCAGGGGCAGGTCAACCTGGGGCAGCAGGGGCAGGTGCATCTGGGGAGGGTGCATCTGGAGCAGGGCAGGCAGGGGCAGGGCAGGGTGCAGCTGCAGGCGTAGCAGCAGTGGATGTTTGGAGCGATGGGCAGGAGGTTGCTCTGGTGAAGGCTCTCAAGGCGTTTCCCAAGGACACGGATAAGCGGTGAGTGCCGCTGCTGGGGCAGGTGCATCTGGGGCAGGGCTGGAACAGGGCTGGGGCTGGGCTGGGTGCAGGGGTAGGTGGGGTGGGCCACAGCTGCGGTGGATGTTTAATTGTGACGGTCAGGAGGTTGCTCTGGTGAAGGCACTCAACTCAAGGCGTTTCCTAAGGACACGGATGAGCGGTGAGTGCCTTTCTGAGAGTGTCTTTCTGTTTACTGTTAGTAAAGTAAGTACACCCGCAGAACCGAGTGATGGTAGATTTCTCTCCTGCCGTTCACGCTTCTCCTTCTGCATCTGGGAACCCATAGCAGCAGCAGTCCCCCCCAAGGGCAAGGCGCAGCTTCACTCGTTCAGCGAGTTGAGGCAGAGATTCCACTCCAAGAAGAGTGGAGCACAGCACGTGCTAAATCTGCTCTGTTCCCTTCCCTATTTCCTCCCCCCCCTCCCCTCCCGACACCCCCTCTTTCCAGGTGGGACCGCATCGCAGCAGCAGTGCCCGGCAAGAGCAAGGCGCAGTGCTTCAAGAAGTTCAGCGAGTTGCGGCAGAGCTTCCGCTCCAAGAAGAGCGGCGTCGCGGAGTAGCGGAAAGGGCAAGAGGGAGGGAGAAGGGAGGGGGGGGGGGGGGGGGGGGGGGGAGGGAAAGAAGGAAGGGGGGGGTGCCTCACAAGGACCAAGAAGTTCAGCGAGTTGAGGCAGAGCTTCCTCTCCAACAAGAGCGGCGCTGCGGAGTAGTGTGGGCGGCGTGTTGCGGGCAGGAGGGGGGATGTTTCAAGAGCGGCTTCCCTTAAGGCAGGATTCAGCGAGTTGAGGCAGAGAGCTTCTGAGCCAAGAAGAGCGGGAGGGCGGAGTAGTATGGGCAGCTTGGTTGCGGCTCTGATGTGGCACCAGGACTAGTGCGGGCAGCTTTGTTTGTGGCAGCTGTGTCCAGAGCAGTGGCACATTGGCAATGACAGCAGCAGCTGCTGTTTCAGCAGCTTCTGCCGTGGTAGGTAGCAATGTACCCAAGAAGTGTAAAAGACGAATTATAGCAACAGCAGGACTTGGATAAAAAATGGCAGCGTTTGCGGTAGCGGAGGCTTGCGTGATCTCTTAACTAAGTGCGATGGTTCCACGATTTTTAGTGTTAAAAAATAGCTATGGTTCATATATTGCTAGGGATAACATTTTAGGTTTGCCATCTTTGGAAGTCATGTGATGTGACGCCTATCATATGTATAAATACACCATTACATGTTTTTGCTTCAAACTGTCGGTGTCGGCTGCCCAAGCAAAGGCCCCCCTGCCGACAATAGGTTTGGCGAAACCAGAGAGTTCAGGTCAAAGCAGTGGTGCTGCCTGTTCTACCCAGGTCAACGGCCCCGACGTCGGAAAGTGGTGACAAACCACGCACTTGCCCTTCAACATTGTACAGTTATGCCCACAAGCAACTTCAGGGCGTATTTTAGAGCGAATGTCAGACTCGAAGCAGACCCGCGGCCCAAGGATCCGCGGGTTATCGCAGAAACAGAATTGCGACAATACTGGGAGCCTGCAGGTTGTACAGTGGCGAATGCTACCTGGCAGCAGCCGTCATTGTTTCACAAGACAAGGCAATTTTTCCAATCCCGGATCTTCCCACAAGAACCTCGGGTCAGACACACTCCAGAATCAGCCCTCATACGTTCTCCCCAAGAACGGTCTACTGTATTACGCCTAGGCCTTGTTTCTTGGGTTTCCAAGCCGCGTTGGCTTCAAACCTCCCAGTGCTTCCCCCAGAAACGCACCAGGTGTTCAACAGTTGGAAACCAAACCTCGCGGGAGAAAACGTAAGTCAGAGCCGGCTGGGCTGACACAAGAGAGGGGAGGTTTGGAAGGTTGAGAATTTTCGCAATTTGCACAGGTGTTTGGCGACGAGCGTTGATTGTCGAGGCTGAAGGGGTGGTTTGGTTGTTTGGTTCGTCACCTTCTTTCCCCCACACACCTCTCACGCAGGGGTTGAGAGAGTGTGTGGGCTTTTTCCTGCTCACGCGAGATTATGTTCACATTTCGAAGCTCGCTTTCCAAACATCGCAGCACCCCCCCCCCCCCCCCCCCCCCCCCGAATTTCGACTACTGTATTGAGAGAAAAAGCGAGAGATGCCATACCTTGGGACCGTCTCGGAACAAACTCACCTAGAAATCTCACAGTAGACAGACTAGACCATGAAGAAATCCGTCATGAGCACCAGGCATTAGGAGAAAGGGCCACTCCAAACTTCAGTTCTCGTGATTTCGAGGCGGTACTCGCTAAAATAGCGGCTGTCGCCATGCGCGAAGGCGAGAAGACCGAGGCAACGGGCTTGCTGACCGGCGCACAGCAGAAGCACATACCGGATCACATCCTACTAGTAACGCGGCAGACGGAGAAAACCGATGCCTTTTCGGCGTTCCTTCGGCAACTTCTGAGGTGGGCGGCGATTGTTTTCGAACGGGCCGCTCAAAAAGCCTACATTTATGTACTACATGATGTGATCTCATGTGTTTAATTACTATGCATGACTATACATCTCGTGTAGGTACTCTTCCTGGACGCGTCGCGAGGCGACGAATGCTTCAGAGTCTGGGGCCGCGGCGGCTCGACATCATTCTGCGAACATTTCGGAGCCGGCGACGCGCCATCACTCCCCCCGGGCCGGGGCAACGGATAATGGAGGTCGGACCTTTCCTGCGACTCTCGTGGCGTCGCCGCGGTGGCTGTGGATGGCAGCTTGCGTCGCGGTCGTTGTGTGCTGGCTCTTCGTTACCAGTGGTCCGGTGAGTACTCTTCGCCGCGAAAGAAGAAGCCAGTAGTGTCTACTGAACGTAAAAGCTCCCTTGGCTCCGTCACCTAAAACGTACTCGTAATCTTCGGGTGGTACCAGATTCAGAACGGACAGAAAAGACGGAGAAAGGTAGGCTCTGCCTTCAAGGCAGGAGAGATCACCTTTCCTCCGAAGTTCGGAAGGATACGCCGCAACGGCATCGCGCTCGCAGTCGACCGCCGCAGTTACTACCGCCGAGAAACGAGTTTCGCCCAAAGATCAGCAACACGCTTAGCGAGGGTATACGCTTACAAGTTGTAAGGGGTCCGACAAGCGACTGGAGGGTCACCTTCGTGACTTGTTCACATAGTATTGTGGGAAGCGGGAAATGAACTCATTCGTGCGGTTTGCGTCACGCAAGGAATGGTGTCTTTTGCTAAGCTGTACTACCTGGTCACCAGGACCTACCTCGGTGCTAGTATAGGCGCACCTACAAAGACTCGGCTGCATCCGTCGAAGTCCTACTACCGCGGCGAATGGTACTGCGCTCGTGGCCAGGCAAGATGCTTCCACCTCAGGCATCATGGTCAACGACGCCTTGACGGGAATTCGGACAAGGTAACGCGCTGTTTCACGCCCTTCTATCGCCCTGGTCGCTCCCGCTCACACGCGCGATCGCCTTCGAAGTCTAACACGCCTGCGCGTCCCACGCTTAGCGCTTACTAGATAGGCGTCGATAAAGGGCCGTGACTCCTGTCGACTGCAATAATAGCGACTAGAATGCTCGCACTCACCAAAAACCCCGCGAAAGAGCTCGGAAGCGAAGAACGGAAGGATACGGTACTGCCATCTTCCAATTTTCGAGCGCTTGCACTGCCTTCTTTGTTTTGTGTATGACTATTCCCAAAACCCCTCAGGCCGCCAGCAGTCAGCTTCAAGACCCCTCTCTTCTCACATGGTCGCCCTTTGCAGCGGAACGGCCAGGTTGCATCCTGACCCTAGACTCGCGCTACAACCCCAAAGGCGTGCGGGCAGTAGAAGAGGCTGTCGCGCAACTTATGAAGGATCTAGGAATAGAGAACAAAGAGGAAGGGGGAAGGGGAGGGGAATGGGCGCGGGGAGGATGGGTGAAAGGAGTGCATATGGGAAGGAAATTGAGGGCAGTTGAGGAGGTTGTAGCGCAGCTGATGAGGAACTTGGGAGTGGGAGGGGAAGAGCGAGGGGAATGGAAAGGGACTGGACAAGGAAAAGGAGGAGAGGAAGGGTGGGTGAAGGGATTGAAAACAGAGAGACAGACAAGGAAAGTGGGGTCAATGGAGGGTGGTGGGAGTGAGGGGGAGGGAAGGGGAAGGGGTGACGGGGCAGGGGAAGAAGAAGACTTGTGGTTTGGAAAAGTGAAGATCGATGGATATGCTGCTGACTTGAGTGAAGAGAAAGCCAGTGAAAAGAAGGGGGGAAGTGATGCCGAGGAGAGGGGGCGCGCACTCTTTTCTCAAGAGGAGGAGATGCCGGAGCTGTGGAGGCGGTTCTATGAGAGTCTGCCGAAGATGCTGGATAGGAATGGCAAGGAGTACATGAACAAGATGCCCATCTGGCTCACGCTGGCCGTCAACATGTGAGTGCCATTGAGCTGTATTGTTTGTTTTCTAACCAGCATCTTTCAACGTGCGCTGTTGGCTGTGAATTGTTTGGCACGTGGTCTCCACATTTGATGTAGACATCTGTGCCGAATTCGTTTTCTGGTGTAAATTGTTTTTTCCTAGTCAACGGAATCCCTCCCCGTCATCCGCCCCTCTTATGAAGACTGTGTATGTGTCTTGCCTTATAGCAGCATGCGTCCTGGCTGGTGGTGGAAAATGAGTCAACTTTGACTTTCCAATCAATGCCTATCTTCTTCTTCATCTGCCCATATCCTCAGGCTGTATGCACGACGACATGGGTACCGGCTGGTGGTGGAAAACGGGTCGAAGTACATTCCTGACAGACACCCAGCATGGTTCAAGGTGAGCAATTTAGAGGGAATCCAGCACTTAAAGCCGCGGTACACATTCCCGGTATTGATTTGAAATGAACAGTGACAAACGGGGAAGGGTTGTGCTGATGGGGTAGCGGGGCTGGCGAACGAAAGGGTAAAAGCGACGGACCTTGGTTGGGGGGGGGGGGGGGTTGGTTGGGGGGGACGAATGACAGGGGCGGGCGGGGAAGCAAATGTGTCAACATTCGAGATTGTGGGGTGGGTGGAAACAAAATGGTGGGGCAGGGGGAACGCGTGACAGGCGCGGGGAGGAATGAAACAGAGGGAACGGGGGAGTAACGGATTTGCGGGGCGGGGGTACACAGTCGCCTTGCGAGAATGAGGGATTTGCAGAATGTACACAAATCCCACATTCTGCTCGATCGACTGTTTTTCACCACGGGCGAGGAGAAATTTTCAACAGGCCACGTTATGCTGTAATCAATGTCCCAATGTTGATAGTTTGAACATAATTCAGGGAATGTGTACCGCGGCTTTAAATGGCACACTGTTCACCGTGCATGGCAAACAACAAATGGCTTCACACCGTGCATGCTCTATGGTAAACTTTTAAGACCAACCCCCTAGGTGTATGTGTCACGCGTTTCACCAATTGGTGTGCACTCCGCCTTACACGCTCGCCCGCATGCACAGGCACAGGTACAGGAGCGCACACCCACGCTTGCACACGCACACACATGGACAAACACATACCCGCACACTCGCTCACTCCCACATATGCCTCCACACACCCTTATGCACGAACTACACCCCGTCCCCGTCCACACCCTTCCCATCCACATCCACCCCCCCCTTGTCCTCCTTCTTAAGGATCACGTCACTGAATCGCAGCTTGAGCCCACACGTGTGCTTGAACAATCTCATGCTTAACTAGCCCACTCACTGTACCATATTGAACTCTCCAGGTGCCTTTTATAGCGGAGCAGCTATCATGCTGCTGCAAGTGGGCCTTCTTTCTCGACTCGGATGCATACATGCGCATGAAACACCACCAGCTCTCCATCGAAGCCTGGATTCAAGCCATCAAGCAGCCGGTGAGTGCGCTCTAAAGCACACCCGTCACTCTCGCTTTCTCGACTCGGATGCACACATGCACATGAATCACCACCACCAGCTCTCCGTCGAAGCCTGGATCCAAGCCATCAAGCAGCCAGAGAGCCGCACTAAATTACATCGTTCACACTGTCTCCGAATGAGTTTTTGCCTTTGCCTTTTGCTGCTCCTCCTTCCCCTTCCACATTTACCAATCAAAGCTAATTTAACTGATAATCTGATCGTTCCCAGCCTCAAAAGTGTGTTTAAAGGTTGTTTTGAGGCAGCATCCATCTATTGGATGCCCCATCATTATTCACTCAACTTCTTGCACCTCCCCCCCACCCCCCCCTTCCCTTTGTTTCCACTCATCAGAACTACTTCAACTGGCTTACAGACGCCAACCTGACAAAGTCACTCAAGGGCCAAGTGTGGGTCCCACAGGACCCTGCTCTCCTGCTGCAGCCGGCAATCGTGCTACAGCCAAACGGACCAATCGCTCTCATTCCTAGGAATGGGGACTCCAGCGGGGGGTATTATGGGCGCGCAGACACGCTGTTTGAAGAAGGGTGCGATTTCGTTAATACAGGCGTCATGCTGTGGCGGTTGTCTCCTATGAGCTTTAAGGTGAGCACATGAGGTTGTGGGTGCTGCAGTGAAGAGGGAATGTAACGAGGGGTTTGAAAGGAGGTCGTGAGTGCTGCAGTAAAGGCAGTGAGGGGAAAAGAAAGAGAGTTATCTTGAGCTAGAATTCCACATATCAAAGTATAGCTTCCTATACACATTAATTTGAAACCAAGGATCTCCAACACTGCTGTTCCTGCCCATGCACCGTGCCCTTCCAGTTCTTCAGACAGTGGTACGACTTGGGAGCTGACATGTTCCACCGATATTACCCTCCATGGGAGCAGCCATACCTCAACTGGGTGGCCCAGGAGGAGGCGTGGAAGAAGAAGCTGATTGTGGTGCCGTACCGTGAGCTCACAGGCCCCAGTGGCATGATGGTGCGCCATGTGTGGGGTGATATGCACTACAAAAGCCGCGATAAAATGGTGTTTGACGCACTCGAGATGTTGGGCAAGCACTAAAATAGGGATTCCCAAGGTTCCCTCATGTATGGTCGGGCATGCATGCAACTAAGCAGGTTAAACATACCAATTTGAGATGCGTAGTACTTTTATTCTGAAGGCGTGTCCAAAACATAATTTGAAGAGGCTAAGTATATACATGAGCTTTATGAACTATAACATTCAGAATCATCACGTACCATTAAAGCCGTTGACCCAAATTGCAGAAATTGCCTTGCAAGTTTATTAATCTTGAACACCCCCGATTGGTAACCTAGTTCCCCAGAGCGAGAGCAAAAACGAAAGTTGCGCAACAAAACAACGGGAAACAGTTTATAAACTTGCGCCACCCCCAGCTGATTAAGCCCCTGCCCCCGCCACGCCAGGCGTTTGAGCGGAAAGAAACTTGAACTCCCCCCCATACGTTTTGGGACTTTTCGGAGTGCAAACCCAGCCCAGCGCCACTATGCCCTAGGCAGCGAAAGCACCATGCACAGCACACGCCAGTTTTTATTAGGGCGCGGTACATATCGTATCAAGTGAGGTCGCGACTTGAACTCGCAAAAAAAAATCTTCTAGAGCCTACTTGATCGCGTTGAAAATAGTCTAAACGTCTACAACCGCATCAGCTGTTCGAATTTCAGTTTGAAGATATACTCGTGATATGAGGTGTACCACGCCCTGATATGCGCAAGTCGAGTTGCTTGGCGATTCCAAGCGAGTTGCGCAACTCGGCCAGGATGCGCAACCCAGAGTCACGTGCCTTCCGGCTGTTTCCAGTGTTCCACGCTGTGCCGTGCGCCGCTCTGACCAGGTATTCTTCCCCCACTCCCCCCTACGCCTTGCGTGCGCCCCCCGTTTTCCTTTTCCCCACCCTCAATTTTCCCCAGTCGTTGTTTGCGAATGTTTTGGTTCTGTCATGATTTGTATGCTCGTTCTGATTGGTTTTCGTAGTGTGCTGTGTTCGCCCACTCTCGCCACCCTCACACCACTCCTCCACGTCCCTGTTCTTTCTCCAGTTCAACTTTTTGTCTGGTTCATCTTTATTAATCTTGCACGTTTTGGGTCAACGCCTTTAAGCGCTGTCCACGGAACCACTTGCGCAGGGTTCCTGAAGGCAGCTAGTTCCCCTCCCCCTCCTTCCGCCCTCACCCCCCCCCAATTATCCGCCAACTCAAAGGCTGTGTTTCTCAAGGTAACAAACGTGGTTAGAATAGAAGGGTACAGTGTGGTTTTGTGCTACTGTGTTGTACTCTTTCTGAGTACACACCTATCTAGCCTATAATAACATACAAATATACGTTTGACACACCCCCTAGGTTGATAAGGGGCAGTGCCAGGCAAGAGACACGCAGCTCAGGGTGGCACTACTAGTCCAACCTCTGAGGCAAGGGTCTGAAGACCAGTCAGCAAGAGTACAAACAAAACAAGAAAAACTCAAGGCGGCACTACTAGTCCAGCCACTGGAACAAGAGGCACAAGGCCAATCAAGATAATATAAGGAGTAGTACATCATCAGGGACCTAGCAGGTGAGCAGCCACAGGAACTAGACCAAGTTGTACACAGTGCCGCTGACGATCTTTAGGCGCAAGCACCTTCGTAAAGATATCAGGTGTGTTGGCACTGGAGGCCAAGTGTACTACGCGGGCCTCTCGTCGCTGCTATTGCTCGCGTAAGAGGAAGTACCGCAGGTGGATGTGCTTCGCTCTGCCCTCTAGTCGAGGCTCATGACACAAGAGGATCATGGCCCTGTTGTCAGCGTACAGGACCGAGGCAGAGCTAGGCCGCTCACCTAAGTCTCTAAGTAAGAAAGTCAACCAGGGGAGCTCCTGTGCCGCCATGGCACTGGCGTAGATCTCAGCCTCACAGCTAGACTTGGCAATAGACGACGAGCGGGTGGACCTCCACAAGATAGCGCCTGCACCAAGGCAAAAGCAGTAGCCCTGGGAAAAATCTGAGCGTCTCAGCGTCGTCCGCCCATGAAGCGTTTGTGTGCTCTGTAAGGACCACTTGTGCGTCCTCCTAGCACCAGCCCCATGCCCGATGTACTTGCTAGATAGCGCAAAACCCTCTTAGCAGTAGACCAGTGATGTGGTCGGTGTCTGCCTGTGGCCACAAAGCGAGCCAGGATGCTGAGAGGGTATGCGAGATCTGGACGAGTGCAAGTTATCAGGTACATGAGGAAACCCACTAATTTTGCGTAGGGACCACTAGGCTCTACAAACTCCTCAGGGACTGGAGTCAAGAGCCTGTGATCTACTGACAGAGGTATGGGCTGTGCGGAGGAGAACTGAAGACCGAACATCTCAAGGACCTGGCGCATCAATTGTGACTGTGTAAGGGTGATGGTGTGTGCAGTTCTGTCCCTGGAGATCTGTAGGCCAAGATAGTGGCACAGCTCTCCTAGGTTAGTGCAGGTGTGTGTCCTCAGCAGCTCATTCTTCACAGAGGCCAGTGCATGTCTGTCTGCAGTGGCGAAGACCAGATCGTCTACGTAGACAAGGATGTAGAACGGGGTATGGCCAGCTCGAATAAAGAGCGAATGGTCTGCATACAACGGGAAGAACTGCAGGTCAGCTAACGTAGCTCGCAGCGTGTCATGCCACTCACGGGGCACCTGCCGCAAGCCGTAAACTGGGCATGGGAGGAGCCACTCGGTACCAGGGCCGAAGGTGCTGGTGAAGCTGGGCGGACGACGCAGGTAGACCTGCTCGTGCAGACTGCCCTGGAGAAACGCTGTGGAGAACTCGAGGGAGTGAAGCTCGTAGTCACGCTGTGCTGCTACGTGTAGCAAAGCGCGAAGAGGGTTCATATTTGGGGTCGGGGCGAAGGTCTGAAAGAAGTCAACACTCTCATGCTGACTGAAGCCTCTAGTTACGTAGCGCGATTGAAAACCGGCGGCTCTCCAGGAGGGAGCTTCAACTTGAAGAGCCATCGGCCATCGACCACGTTCACCCCAGGTGGGTGAACTAAGTCGACGTACAGTAGGTGCTGGTGGATCTCTAGGATGCCATCTCCTGCTCCATGGCAGCTATCCACTGAGAGGCCCAGGGTCCCCAGATTGCCTCTGCATAAGTGCGAGGGGTCAGGATGTCAAGGGCGTCTGGGTCACCCTCAGGGACTAGCAGTATGGAGCAGAGATGAGGAGCAGCCTCGGACAGGAAAGCGAGCTCGTATTGCCTGTCCTCCAAGACGTCAGTGCCGAGGGCAGAAGCACCCTCGACGGACGGAGGACGGGCTAAGTCAGGGACCAGAGCTGTGGCATAGTCAAGGCGACGGGTAGTCAAAGTCAGTGACGGCAGCGACAAGAACGTCAAGACTCGAGACAGGAACAGACCGGTCGGTAACGAGGGAGGCAAGGACCTGAGGAACAAGAGGACTTGCAGTACGAAGGTAGTCAAACAGAGGAGGCGGAGCGACAACAAGCGACGACGGAGGTGACTGGAGGAGGGAAGGACGAGACACGTGGAAACGAAGCAACATAGGGTGAGAGTGCTGAACAGGGGAGACAGGACGAGCACGAGAGGGACGGCGAGACCAAAGACAGAGGAGGAGAAACAGGAGAAGAACGAGGGGGGAAACGAGCCGGAGATGAGTCCGTTGGTGGAAACACAGGGCCGTAGATAGGCAGGGGAGGCGGCAGCGGGGGAGGCGCAGGCGGGAGGTCAAGGGAGGGAAGACCGTGGAGTCGAAGGGCGGACACCAGCGGCGACTGCTGCCGCTGCTGCTGCTCCTCACCGACACCAGAACTTCCAGGTGCACGACGGCTACCTCCGGGACGCTCCACGCCAACTCCCCCAGAACGAGAACCCTCTCTGGGACCGGTGCCACCCCCAGGACTAACAACCTCCTCAACGCTCGCACCCCCAGAGCTCACGGACCCCTGCGGCGGCGGTGACTACGGCTGTTGCTGCTACCGCGAAGGCAGCGACGACGATTGCGACGGCGAGGTTGACGGCGGCTGCTGCTGGTGCAGCAGAGGAGGAGACACCGAGGCAGAGAGAGGCGGCGAAACCGAAGCCGCAAGGCCCCCAACGTCAGCTGACTCCTCTACCAGGACAATCGACGGGAGGGGAGTGACGTGAGACACACCAGACGGGGCAGGACATGGAAGGAGAGGTGCATGGGCTACCTAGGAACCAGAATGAGGGGCGGGGAAACCAGGTGACCTCGGTGGGGAAATCGGTGTTTGAAGGAAACACACTCGTCAAAAGTGACGTTGTGAGAGTGAAAGAAATGGTGAGACATCGGGTGGTAAAAGTGCCAGTCAGACGCGTCTAGCGGGAAGCCAAGGAAGACACAAGGGGCAGTATGGGCTATGAGTTTGTCCATGCCAGAGGCACGAACGTGAGCGAGGCATCCCCAGATGTGGAACGCGGACGCGTCACTAGGGGACCCGGTCTAGAGGAGGGTCGGCGAAACATGTGGCCGCTGGGAGTGCGGCGTAGCGAGCAGCGAACGGCCACATGAATTGGGTTGCACTGGCATGAATCATGGTGGTACGAGCCACCTCCATGACCAAGCCGATGCGTCGCTCAGCGACCCCATTCTTCTGTGGGGAGTGCGACAGTGTGTACGACTGGGTGATGCACTCAACACGACAGAACTAGCCAAGCCGACCCGAGGCGGACTCGCCGCCACGGTCGGAGTGAAGACGCAGCACAGGGAGGCCGCGGAGGACTCGCGCAACTACGACTCATGGGATAAGAACGTCAGGCACGTCGGCCTTACGCTCCAGAGGAAACACCGTAGTATAGCGCATGTAGACGTCGACAAGCACTAGAAAGTAGCGCTCTCGACGCGACCTAGGGACGGGGGCTGGGCTCGAGACGTCCCAGTGCAGGGTCTGGAGTGGCGCAGATGTAGGGGAAAGCGAGGAGGAGTGACGAGCATGGAGCAGCTGGCCCTCGACGCAGGGCATGCATGGCGGCACAGGCGAGGGAGGGAGGGCAGGAAGCGACACCAGGAGACCTAAGATAAGACCATGCTTTTACATATGACGGAGACGCGTGGGAGCGGGGTGACCTAAGCGGTGGTGCCAAAGAGGCTACGGGTGAGTGAGCGACCGACACGAGCAAGCCGCAGCAACCTGGGCAGACGCAGGCACTTGGGGGAACGCCCTCACGGGGGGGGGACGCGGTATCTGGTGCAAATAGGACA